GATCTTGATGAAATCCAATAAAGGTCTAACATTGTGTTGAATTCTTTAAGCCATTGGTTTGCATGTAATGACCTGTCTCTAAATCTGAAAAAGACTAAAGTGTTAAAATTTGATACAATTAATCGGGATAATATGTCTATACATTTAAAGTTTAATGATAGATATTGCATGAGGAAACCCACGTTAAATTCTTGGGCACTGAAATTGATGAGGCACTGAAATTGGTGAGACCCTGAATTGGAAGTCACAGATTGAATCGATGCTGTCTAGATTGGGCAAGGCATGCTTTGCAATAAGAAACATGAAATTGTACAGCAATATTGAAACACTAAGGATGATTTACCATGCATACTTTCATTCAATTATGAGATATGGGATAGTATTTTGGGGAAACTCATTGGAAGCTAAGAAGATTTTTCTTTTACAAAAGAAGGCCTTCAGGATAATGATGGGAGTGAAACCTAGAGAATCATATAGAACAGTTTTTAAAAAAAATTAAAAATTCTGACATTGGTCTCTCAGTATATTTTATCTTTAATGATACTAATGATAAACAATTTGGGGTATTATACTTTGAGTCATACAATTCATGGTAAATCAACAAGACAAGTTAGAAACCTATATGTTCCTCAATCACATCTAACAAAGAGGCAAAAAGGGGTCTATTGCATGCGTGTAAAAGTGTTTAATAGTTTGCCTGATTTTTTAATTTAGTTAGTACATAATAAAAAACAGTTTATTGGGAAACTAAAGGATGTATTGCTTCAAAACCCTTCTTATACTGTTGAGGAATTGTTGCTTTTCTGTCAAGACCTACAGCTAAGGAAAAGAGGTGTCTGACAGTGCACACTTCACTAAACCCTATGTCCTTGGCTGTGCTTATATATACATGCTGCAATTTGTATTGCCTTTTAACTATTGTATGTGTTTTTGACAAGTATGGATTATATATGCTAGTGATTTTATTTGTGGATTTATAAGTGTCCAATGTTTTGTTTGCTTGTTGACATGTTTTATATTCAGTGCCGGTGGCAGATTTATGAATATTTTAAAGAAACGCAAATGTATATGTATGTATACTGTGCCATTTAGCCTGTGGAATTTCATTAATTTACTCCCCATTTCAGAAACAAAACTTGAATCTGTACATAATGGTCGTAATTTCTACTGTGTGGCTGCAGGTTTTATTGGTGGGTACTTCATAAAACGGACTCAAATAAGAAAACCAGGACAAGAAATATATACATCTGAACCACCTGAATGTTTTGGGCCACAGGATTTTTATGTTGGTAACATACTCATTCTGCATAGTTTTGAGTTTGTACTAGTTGATGCAGATGAATATACCTTGCAATATATGGAAGTTAATTGTCAAGAGGTAAGCCTATTTTGGATAAACATAATTCTATCTAGTTTATTTTATTTGAACTGCATAGAAATATTGAGACCACCATTAGATAATTTATGTTGCTTTCAGAATCAGAAGATACTTAAAATAAGAGAAGCAAAATCCAGTATGAAAATTTCTCTTAGTAACAAAAAATATCAACTTTTAAAGGGAAAGAATTAGTATGATGTGAGAATATGCTAGACAATAAACAAACAGTACAGGCGTGTAAATTAAAAAAATTGGAAACTGACTTGACCTGAAGAGTACAATCTGCTGGGGTATAACGTTGTGTAGTCTGTTGAAAGCCAAATGATATTTGAGAGGAATATGTCACTTCCACCTTCAGTGTTGAAGAATGGGCCAAGCTAGAAACTGGCATAAAGTAGACTGCAACCAAAGTTTATGTGGCAAGAGAGGTTTGCAAAACAAAACCCAGACATTCTTATGTATAAGTGAAATAATTAATAAACACAGATACATGCTCAAAATTATATGGAGTATTTGTTAGGCCAATGTAGAATATTCTAGTGAGTTATGGATATATTGTGACAAATGAAAAATCGGATTGGCAGAAATGAGAACTTTCAAGCTGAATGTACATAATTATGTGTTGTGGCATGTAGACCCATTGCTAGATGTTTTCTAAGCAGGACAAGATAGTGGAGCTGATGAGTGAGTTAGAGGACTGCTGGGGCTCAGACATTGTGAGCTGTTAAAGCAGGTAGGTGAGGCTAGGGACAGTTTAGGAATGCAATGAGGAAGGGGAACATCCACTATTTGAAGCCGCTACCAAGTAACCACGGTGAAGACATGACTGTGGACACTAGTGCATGCATGCGCGCGTGCGTGTGTGCGTGTGTGTAGGCAAGAAAATGCCATCAGTAATATTCTTGAAGAGAGAAAGATTATGTAAATAGCGTAAGCGAAGACAGTCAAGGATATTTTGGGATTATAGACTTATATGGTAAAGTGATTTGAAAGAGGATTTTGAGGCCAGTACAGACATAAAGTTGTCTAATCCATAAAAGCAAGGAATATGATGAAGACTGATTGCATTTTGAACAGTGTAACAAACTACAGGACTCATTTAAGAGTTACTTGTCATTTGCAGAGTGCTATTGTGTGGGATGTGATGCTGTGTAGTTTGCTAGAAGTTTACCAATGTTTCAGAGACTCATATTGTCTCCTTTTCCAGAATTAAAGAGTAAGCAAAAGAAGCAAACAAGGTAACAACAAGTAGCATAGAACTGAAAGATTCACTGCCATGTTCACAAGCACCTGCAAAATCACACAAAACTGAAAACCATTTTATTTTTCTGTAGTGCAATTTCAGCAATTCATGGATTTCCTTTTACTGTACACAGTTATAATAAAGAGGATAGCTGTTGATTTTATTTTTTATTCATTTGTAGATTATTTGACAACATTCAGTAGCTCAGACTGTCAGTATGCAGCATAAAATGATTGGCTGTTAGTGAATAATGAACTGGAAAATACAAAGAAAGGAAGTGGCCTGGCCATGGCCTAATTTAATGTACTGACTACAGGGAATGAGAAAAAGACTCAGTAAAGATAATCAGTGTCCTGACCAAGATTCAAAATTAGCACTTTACAAATACAAGTTAGAAGTATTCTCACTTGAACCAAGAGGCACAATGTGACGGGTTTTTTATAGTTTTACTCAGTACTTTTAGATAGATTCTGGCATAATACCTTAATAGAGGTCACGTCAAGACTACCTCCTTAAAAATCATTTCCAATTTATGATTCTCCCATTTACTGCTATAGCACATACATTTGAAAAATGTTGTTAAATAAAGCTGAGAAAGAAGTAAAGAAAAATAAATTGCTGTCATCATAAGCAGATATTACTGGATAATATGATATTTCAGTTCAAGAAGAGTAATGTCATACTGATAATGAACAAGATCCGTGAAGCCCTGAAGCCCATGTATAAACAGTTTGTATGTGAATTCCTGAAGACAGACCCAAATCAGACAGATGTAATATGTTGCACTAAACTGAGGTAAGTTTTAAAGGTAAATCTGTTGAATTGTGATGATGATGTGTAAAGTCAAGCAAGAACATACATGGTCCAGCTCTGAAAATATTAATCTCATATAGTTATGCAGTACTATATCTTGCAGTATCCTTTGGAAAAATTAGACACTGAGATGGATATTAGGAGAGCTTGGGAAATTATTAGAGAGGCTATCAAAATTTCAGCCAAGGAGGGTTTAAGTTATTATGAATTGAAGAAGCATAAGCCATGGTTCAGTGACGGATGCTCAGAATTATTAGATCAAAGTAAACAAGCCAGATTGGAATGGTTACAGGATCCAAGCGAAATAAATGGGGATAATCTGAAGAATATAAGACATGAGACCATCAGGTATTTCACACATAAAAAGAGGAATATTTGAAATAACAAAATTAATGAGCTTACAATGAACAATAGGAACAAGAACATTAAGAGACCTTTATAGAGGAGTTTAAGGTTTACCAACCTAGAAGTAATTTAGTGAATGATGAGAATGGTGATCTAGTTGCAGATTCCCACAACGTTTTGAATAAGTGGAAGAACTACTTCGCTCAGTCATTAAATGTACTTTGGATCAGTGGTGTTAGGCACATAGAAATATATACAGCTGAGTCGTTAGTACCTGATCCTAATCCTTTTGAGTTTGAAGTTTCTAATGCAAAGTTGAAAAAGTATGAGTATAAATAGACAGGTAGTGATCAAATTCTAGCAGAACTGATTCAAGTAGAAGGTGGAATATGATGGTCTGTGATCCATAAACTCATTAATTCTATTTGGAATAGGGAAGAATTTCCTGATCCATGGAAGGAGTCTATTATTGTACCAATTTACAAGAAAGGAACTAAAACTGAATGTACAGTAGATCACTGTGGTCACGGAGCAAGGGCCAAAAAGGCCCACCCCTTACACATTCATTCATTCAAGACTGAATATAGTAATTATCATGGGATATCACTTCTGTCAACTTCATCACTCACTCACTCACTCATGGAGCCGAGCCCTTCTTGAGAATTTCCCAACATTTTATGGAACCCAAAAGTTCATTACCATGTTCACAAGAGCCCTCCACCTGTTCCTACCTTCCCATCCTATTTCTCTAAGATCCATTTTAACACTATTCACCCACTCACGTCTTGGTCTTCCTAGTGATCTCTTTCCTTTTGGCTTTCCCATCAATGTCCTATATGCATTCCTCTTCTCCCCCATTCGTGCTATATGACCTGCCCATCTCATCCTCCTTGACTTGATCATTCTAATTATACTTGGAGAAGAGTACAAGTTATGAAGCTCCTCATTATGCAGTTTTCTCCAATCTCCTGTCAATTCATCTCTCTTCGGTCAAAATATTATTCTCAATTTGGTCAGTTTGGTTGTGCATCTTTCCATCAGGAGATGTCCAAGTAAATTCATGAATATTACAATGTGGGTACATATATTTTTGACAGTAAGATTTTTGGATGTGGCAAAGTTTACTACTCCAACTCCATTATCATTACTAATTTCATGTAAACTCTCATTCAGATTTGTTGTTTTGAAAGTGTTTTCCCTACCTACTTTGGCATTGAGATCTCCTAACAAAATTTTCATGCGGTATTTAGGGAATCTATCTACTTCATACAGAATTTTATCCAATATCCTTCTCTCAAGATTATGTCCATATACAGATATAATTATTGGGCATTATCAGAGTGGGTTTTGACATAACAGATCAACTACTCATCACATTTTCTACATTCGTCAGATGCTGGAGGAAAAATGGGAGTACAGTGAAACACTATATCAGCTATTCATAGACTTCAAGAAAGCCTATGATTCAGTAAGGAGGGGAGTATTGTATGTGGGGTACCCATGAAATTATTTAGGATGACTAAAATGTGTTTAAATGAAATCTATAATAAAATTCATATAGGTAAATATTTGTCTGATAAGTTTCCTTTCCAGAATGGTCCAAAACAAGGAAATGGTTCGTCACCATTTCTTTTCAACTTGCTTTAGAATATGCCATTAGGAAGGTCCAGGAAACCAGGTGAGAATGAAATTAAGTGGTACACATCAGCTGCTGGTCTATGCTGATGATATGAATCTACTGGGAGATAACATAAATACCATAAAGAAACACTGAGACTTTAATTGTCTCTAGTAAGGAGGTTGATCTGGAAGTAAACGCAGAGAAGACTGAGTATCTGTTGCTGTCTCCATCACCAGAATGCAAAGAAAAATCATGACATAAATATTGCTAACAGATCCTTTTGAAAATGTGGCACAGAGGGTTGTTTTGAGGACAGGGTGCTGAGGAGATTATTTGGACCAAAGAGGGATGAAATGACAGGAAGTTGGAGAAAACTGCATAATGAAGAGCTTCATAAGTTGTACTCCTCCCCGAGTACGTATAATAAGAATAATCAAGCCAAGGGAGATGAAATGGGCAGGGCATATAGGATAAATGGGGAGAAAGAGGGATGCATGTAGGATACTGGTGGGGAAGCCAAAAGGTAAAATGCCACCAGTAAGACCAAAATGTAGATGGGCATATAATATTAAAATGGATCTTAGAGAGGCAGTCTGGGTGGTATGGACTGGATTCATCTGGCTTGGAATAGGGATCTGCAAAGGGTTATTGTGAACATGGCAGTGAACCTTTTGGGTCCATAAAATGCTGAGAAATTCTTGAGCAGCTGAATGACTGGTGGCTTCTCAAGAAGGGCTCAGCTCCATGGAGTTAGTTATGTATGTTTTGCAGGATGCCCCATTTTATATTTAGATATTTACATTTATTGTAATTAAAACTCAACAGAGCAACACGCATATGCACACAAAAATATGAATTGTGAACACAGATATTTTTTCACAGATTTTCACTTCTGATAACACAAGGCACACTCATTAGAATATAGTCCTTAGTTAACTTAACCGGAGTCCTTATACACATCTCTCATATATCACATAAATGTTTGATGTACTTTTCTGACTGATGTATATTCATATATTATAGCAAGATGTTGAAGGAGATCTTGGGTGACATCATTACACAACATGAACTGATCACTCTAGCTCGCCACTACAGTGCTCAGTGTATTAAGGAGCGATATACAAAGGAATCATTGAGGTAATTTATATATATATATTATTAATTATTATTGTTAATTATATATATTGTAACGTGTTTCGTTACCGAAGATGCCGTTCAAATTGTTAATTGGTTTATTCAACAACCTACAAGTAACAGCTACAATTAATTATCACACAGTTGCGGGGTTTCACACTTTATAACCCTAATCGCAATAATCTGTTTACACTGTTGCGGGGTTTCACAATTTATAACCCTATTCGCAAATCAATTCACACTATCTTCAAGAGTCTTCACGTATTAATAACGCGGGAGCTATACAAGTCTCTCTGAATTACACACTCCAAATGTAACTGTACTACAGCACACACAAAATCTCGAAAGGGCACAATAAGCCTTCCACTTCTGACTTCTTAGTTATCGCACACTGTCACATAAAATCTTATAACCACGCGTTNGAACAACACTGATCTCTCTGGTCTGTCTTTTACCTATAGGTCTGTTGTCCATACAGAATTGAAGCGCTTCCTTTTCAATCAAATGGAACGTTTACATGAAAGCTTCCTACAGCAAGACCCTAACCACAGTGGTTACATCTCAAGAGATACAGCTTATGCTGTATGCCGAGGTGCCAAGTTGCCTGTCGACAAAGATCTGTTGAATGCTGTTTTGGACAAGTAGGCTGCATCAGAATATTTCAAGCAGTAACTGCATAATGTTCAAAATGAATCATCATATTTTCAGTAATATTCCTGTTGTATGAATTTATTACAGAATTTGTAAGAATGAAGCCGGAGAAATAGATTACAGGGATTTACTAGGATTCCTGGATCTCAAGCAAAGTCCTCCATCTCCTGCAGAGCCTACAGGTAGTCAGGTATGATGTATACATAGCAGCTTTAATTAAATCTTTTATAATTCTGTTGTGGCTGTAAGAAATTAAAGTGAGACTCCAATACATTCACTTTTTCACTTCCTTGTACAATTTAAACATATCATAAATTCCATCTGATTGTCATTCAATGCACTCTCATTGTGTATACTGTCATTACTACCAGAAATTATAATCTCCAATGCTTGACAGTGTTACTGCAAGAGTATTATACATGTCTTACTTTATTTCAGTATGAGTTCTCACTTCTTGCTGACAAACCAGACAATAGGATTGGTCCAGTAGACTGTCAAGCTTTCCTCAAGGATCTTGATTTGGAGAAGCAGATTGTTGAACAAAGTGGGTAGTAAATTTCAGTGAAGACATGTATGTGTATGTGAGTAATGTTATTTCTGGTCATGCTATCAGTGATATCCATATGTGTGTTTGTCTTAATTTGAATGAGATAAATATTGTCACATGTTCGGAATCCAGAAGACACTTCCATAGTAACGCTAGAACAGAGCATTGCATAGGTAGCGACAATAGCGGTATTGTAGCCCCAACAGTTGGCCGTTGCGTAGGTATTGCAGTATCAAAAAAACGTATCCCTGGTGATAGACAACAGAGGGTCGTTTGCATAGCAGCGGCCAAGGTTATAAAAAGGGGTTGAATGCATTCGCCGAGACAGTCTCAGGATAGACGCCGAGAGATACAGAAGTCAGTCTTCAGGAAGCTGCCGCTGAAGATAGTTGGAATGTAGATACAAAGAGCTACAGAAGTATTGGCCGAGATATTGTGTAAGCAGTAATTGTAATGCTGCAAGTGCTAATAGTTGTAAAGTGTGTAAGTGTGAGTGTCCAATAAAGATTCGCTGACCCACGTATATTTATTTGTCGCGTGACACACCCAACACGTGGCAATATGATATGATTCCAAAAATGCAGGAAGTTATATTCTAGTTACAACATACTTTCATTAAGAAACTAGGTCTGCTCTTCTGTACTGCACATTATTAAATCAGTGTTTTGTAAGATTTTACAAATATACAGTTCTAAGATAAATATATTATACATCATTGTCTGAAAATTTACTGAATTCTTTATTAACCTTTTAAAGCCTAATGGTTACTATATGCACGACCTGGTCTAACATGTTAGAATTCTGCATTCTGCCCGCACAGTGTGTGTGTTTCATATGGTTCTCACAATAAGCTTCGGATGTTTTCCTAAACAGCATTAACGGGTTGGTCTTTGTAGCGGAGACACAGTGTGTTTCCTGTGAGGTACGAACTGAATTTTTATATTTAGTTTGGAAAGAATTCGGTCTTTAAAGGGTTAATGAATACATTTTGTACATTAGTTGTAAAACTGTATTTGGAGGCAGTCACTGGAAACTTTACATTTTACATTCTTTAAAAGACTGCTCTAGAAAATACTGCCACAGAAATCATAAGACAGTATATAACATTAACGCAGAACGAAATATTTATGGCAAACACTGTTAAGAAAAGATAATATGTTGCCCTTCAGTTTATTCATTATTGAAGATAAATATCAGAACTGCCCTTTCATTAATAATGTACTGAAGTTGAAAGCCATGGATCATAATGTGAACATTAAACTAAAAGTTAATTATGGCAAGTTCAAACATGAATAGATAGTTGGACAAGAATATGAAACAAGAAACAGTATCATTTTCTGAATAAATGCAATGTCAACAAATTATAACATACAAAAGGACCATGTTATTTCAGAACGCTATGGCCTTGTTGCAGTTCTTTAAGGTCTCCTTCAAGGGCATTTAACATTCGAGACAAATTATTCAGTTCTTCACAAAGTCTTTTGTCTTCTGAATTATACAACTGTGTGTCTTCAGCCATCTGAGATCTGCAAAGAGTAATATACCAAATTAAGTTGTAAGGAGTTGAATCTGCATGATGAAGCTGTCTCCTACCTCAATCTATACAGCTCAACTTTAGTTTCATATTTACAGGTTTTAATGAATATTCAGTGTAAATTTGTGTTAAATTTGTGTCAGATGTTGTATGAAACAAAACCTAAGTTACAAATAAGTTCACATTTCAAAAGACAGGTGTCAGTCATGCCTTCATACAGTGTACCATGTTTTTCATGAACAAGGATGTGGTAAATAGCAGTATAACCATTACATCTGTTATGGTGGAAAATTTAGGTTAGTTTTAACTTTTGATCTCATGTATTTAATATGTTCATAGTTGTGAACAAACAGTGGAAATTAATCAGTTTTGAACCCATTAATTAATCTGTCAACTTCATGTTCTCATGTCAGCAACCATGAAGAGTCTATCTTCTAGGTTGTAACACTGTGTAGTTCAGAGAGAGCTCAACATTTTTAGGAACATGCTGCAAGCAAGAAAACAGCAGAATCAGGTGATAAGCTGAGCCTACATCTGCTGGTGTCTTGAATTACTCTTCAGCCCTGAAGATGGAGGTGATATGTTCCTCCGAAACGTTGTGTTTCCCCAGAAATACACAGCATTGTAACTCAGAATACCATACTCTTCACACTCTACCGGTCAGTCACTTATGTAGGTGATTAAGAGTAGGATGAAAGGATGGTAACTGATGAATCACTGTAACAGAGCATTTGAAATCTGTATGGTGACATGAAGGTTGTGGCCTTGTAGGATGTAATACCATGCAGTTTGGCAGATAGGTGCCAGTGTTGTGGAGGAACAGCAGGTTCCTCCAAACTGTTGGTAACCAACTATGAAACTACATGGTATTGCTAACTCAGAACATCACGATCTTAACTACAAGAAATATTGGTGAAATTAAGGTAATGTCATGTAGTTTACATAACTGACAGTATGACTTCCTTCAGATCTTCAGTGATAGGTCAAGAACAAGGCAGAGAAATCATGTGTTGGAAGATATACAGCAGAAATAAAGGAGGATAGTGGACTCTGATACAACAGTAACATTCACTGGAAGCTTGTTATAGAATGACCCACTCTAGTGGAAACATCAGTGAGTTATGATGATGATGACGACAACGATGACGACGATGACAACAACAATGATGATGATGAAGATCATGATGATATCTTTATTAACATTTAAATTCTAGTGTGATATAAAAGAACTTCAGCTGAAGTGATAGCATACTCTTCTCTGCTAATATTTCTTTCCATTAAAGATGTTTTTGTACTACCAGAATGAGTGACATTAATATTTTTGGAAGAGGGGAGCAGAAAAAGACATAAGACCTAGGGTTCCCAGATACCCCGTTTTCCCTGGATTCTTCCTTGTTTTCACCCAAATTTTGTTCCTCTGTTTATTGTTTACCTGGAGTGGATAATTCTCCAATTTTTTATTTAAGTCCATTGCGAATTATATTTCATGGGTTAAATATTATCATAAAATTTCTGTAATCCTTGGAAAATGACATTGTTATAGTTTCTTTCATTATGTTGCATTTCATGAATGTTGGCAACACTTGAGGTTCTAAACCAAAGCAGAGGTTGTTGGTGATAGTGTATTTTTAATCCGTTCAATCTTCGCTAGAAAGTCAGTGTCAAGTTAGCAAAAATGTTTGAGGGCGAAGAAGATCCATCAAAAACTCCTCCACGGAAGAAGTTGAAATTCCAGGCCAAACATAATCAAATATATCTTAAGAAATGGGAAGATATGTTTTCATGGGTTAAGCCAGGACCAGAGGAGAACCAGGCATGTAGTATGTTGATTATGTATATTTTATAGCCTATTATTTGTGAAAAATGTTATAAACAAGCAACAAGACATCACTCCTTTTTTTATTTTACAAAATCTGGCAACCCTAATGAGACCTGTCAGGAATTGAAACATTTTGCAGTGAAACTGTTAATGAAGCATATATAAGTAATCCAAGAGACTGCACCTTGCATTCAACTTTGTATCATCCAGTTACCTGTCATTGCTTTGTCCATTTCACTGACTTTCTTCATGTATTCTAATTTGTAATAATGATTTAATATTTAGACTCACATAAGATGTTGTAATGCTGACAGCTCAAGAGTGCATCCACCAGTTGTGTCTGATTTATCTAGCGATTCATTAAACATTGCTTTATACTTTATATGATATTCATTTAGTTCCTCTTCAACTGATGCCATTTCTCTAATAATGGCACTTGTTTCCTCCTGCAAGCTGGACATCTCAGCTGCTATGTTCTTTCTGTCCTAAGATTTAAAAATTTAGTTAATATTTTTGAAGTTGCATAACATTGGTTAATTTCTTTCATACAATGTTTAGATTTATAATCAGGTGCTTTGTAAAATGTCAGTGATACATACATAAAATTTTGGTCCACTTCGCAACTTATCAGCAATTGAAGCCATTTTGTTTTCATAGTCCTTTCTGTAAGAGTAAATAATTGTTATTTTTCTTAGTAAAAGCATCTTGATCAGTCACACTACTTGATTCCATCAAGTGTAACCACTTTAATATACAAACATATAACTGTACCTTTATATGTTTTGGCCAGCACTGGCGATCATCAGAAGATTCCCAACACTACAGGGAAATACTTTACATATATCTCTGTAGAGGGATTTTACCATTGAAAGCTAAGATTAGATTTAGATATTATTTAGTTACATCAAATTTGTTGTTAACATTAATATGTTAAGACAGGCCGCACCATAGCTCAAGCGGTTAGTTGCTGGCTTCCCATCGCGGCGGCACGGGTTTGATCAAGGGTCTGGTCAAGTGGGATTTGTGGTGGACAAAGTGGCACTGGGGTGNGGTATGTAGGGTATTCTATATGCTGTCATGTGTATGTTCAGTGAATGATGTTGTGGTATGCAAGGTGTGCTGTGGTGAACTGATAGTCTGTAATAGAGTAATCATAACTGTATAATTTATTGTAAGATTTGAGGCTTTCACGGCAGTGACTATGAAGAAAGCAGTCTTCTGGGATTTGGCACCGTGTATATGTAGTCTGCTTTTACTGGTTCTCACGGTCTCTTCGCTTGCAGATTTCTTATATTTTTTCTTCTACCCTGAAGATGGAGGCGATACGTTCCTCCGAAACGTCGGTTAACACCACATATACACGGTGCCAAATCCCAGAAGACTGATTTCTGTATAAGTTATTCATTGTAATGTTTTTTATGGTAATTCATTGAATTAGGAATTAGATATACACTTCGTACAGCGGCCTCCATAGTCTAGAGGTAACGTTCCCACCTCATGACTCATAGTACACGGGTTCAAATACCCAGCGGAGGTTGTCGAATTTTTAAGGGCGGAAAAAATTCAGGGAACAAGTCCTCCGGGAGGGACTTTAAGCTGTGGGTCCTGTGTCGTAGCTTTATGGCACGTAAAAGAACCTCATATCTCCAAAGGAGGTCACTGAGCCAAATTACGGACGTTTCCCGCCCAACAGCAGTCTCTAATACCTCTGGTAGATGGGGGAAGCATTATAGATACCTCTCAGCTAGTAGAGCCGGTCTCGCTGGCTGGGCGGGACTGATGGTAAGCACCAGTACCGGTAGGATATAGAGACTGGTAGAAATCATAGAGTGAAGCACAATGGACCAATACAGGTCTAAGTGCATGGGGAAACCCACCCTCTCCAATAACTAACTAACTACACTTCGTACAGTGATGGATATTGTAATTGGCCAGTATCAGAAAGGATGAGGCTGATTACACAGTCAGATAGGTGGTTTCTTTTATGTACAAAAATATGAAAATATCTTTGTTAAATTTTTGGATTTCTGCCAGTAAGAAGGATTAGAATCCAGCTTTAGTGACATGTGAGCAATATTAAGTTAGGATTTATAGTGGACATAGTTTCAAACGCTACATCAAAAATTTTATATGAAGTGATCCAGTCACTACTGTAAGAACATCACAAAGAGCTGGGATGGTTTATAATCATATTTGGACCAAAAATAGCTGGAATATGCTCATCACAATGGAATTATACAATATATACGTATGTGTAATTTCATGAATGGATGTACTGCATATGATAATTTATTTTAATTTAGGTATAATATCTTCAGTTAAGTAGATTTGAGTGAAATAAGTTAGAAACCATGTGAATGGAAAGTTTTTTAAATATACATTCAGACCCTACTGGAGGTCACTTATTTGAAGTTATAATATCCAGTTATGTAATGGTAGTTTTATTTTAAGTAGGATTTGAGATTCTCACAACCGCGATTATGAAGAGTGCTGTCCTCTGGAATGTAAGAGCATGCAGCCCGTTGAAAGTCAATTGGCATTTGAGAGGAACATCTGACCTACTTCTTTAGGGTTGAAAGAACAGAGCTTTGCTTGCTATTTGCTTTGTGTTGGTTTCTTACTTAACTTATCCTTTGACCCTGAAGATGGAGGTAACATTTACTTCAAAACATTGGTTGACTTTCAATGGACTACACAGTGTTATATCCTAGAAGATAAAACTCTTCAGTAGTTCATTTTGTTTGAATTTCAAACTCTTGAACTCAATATGTATATTTAGCCTAATAGAGAACTTGAATCATTTAGCCTCTAATTAGTGCAAGTAATAAAATTACTTTTTATATTGTTTTCAGAAGAAAAGAACCTGATCTACTTAGTGTAAGACATGTATAGGTACATGTTTCTGTGATACTCACAAACTGTCAATCTGCTCCTGCTTCTCTTTCTTAATCTGTTTCTGTATTTCATTTGCTTCTTCTTGTAATTTCTTTAAAGTAGCTTGTACCTTGGCCAGTACTTCCTCCTTTTTCTGTATTCGGATACTATGAGTCTCTATATCATCTACAAGTAAAAGTAAGTAAAAGCTACAAACATATTTTTATTTATATTTTCATGCACCTTTCCTTTTGTCTGAGAATAATTTCAAGCAACAGCAGCATCACTTGCCCAAATTGAAACAAGACCGGAAAGTGTAATCTGTACTGCAGTGCACAGTTTCCATGTACATTTCTTGCAATGTGGGGTCTGATTAATCACTTAAGTAAGCACTAAACAGCATGGTAAGATTGTTGTTGTTGTTGTTGTTGTCGTCGTCATCGGCCGCAGTGGCAGTGGTGATGGTGGTGGTGGTGGAAGTGGTGTTGGAGATGGTAGTGGCAGTGATAGTGCTGGCAACAGCAGTGATGGCAGTATTGGTTGTGGCAATGTATTCTTGGGAAGAAATTTAAAATTTGTTACACATAATATCAAAGATTTATACCTTTGCTTTATTTTCAATTGTGTGCTTAGAAACAATATTCACTGTAGAAATTGTAGGCATGTGTATGATATATCTCCATACCAAGTTTCATACGCTTAACTCCAGTCATGCATATGTTATTTGTTATTGCTGTAAAACCAACAGCTAAATACAGATCTCATGCAGCAGTCATTTTGCCCTACATTTTACCCAAAAAAAAAAGCTTTATCAAAGGTTTCATATTTTTCAAAGATCTGTTACCGTATATAATTTCAGGACTCTATATTAAGTGGCACTATTATCTCTTTCATTTCACACATTCATGCATCCACCATGTTGGTATACTAACAGGAAATAAAAAATAGAAATTTGGAGTAGCCTCCAATGGCATAATTTTCACACCAAATTACTTCAAAATCCATCTAGTGGTTCTCAGGTTGAAACATAGGCAGACAGATATGACCAGCCCTATATGTTTTCATTTTGTAAACGCTGTGCATAATAACAGTGGCCTCATTTTATCACAGACACTTGTACCTGTGCTGAAATATTTTCTGTCTGTATGTAATCTATGTATCATGTATCATTCTAATAGAGTTTGGGATACCCATGAAACTAGTTAGGTTGATTAAAATGTGTTTAAACGAAACGTATAGTAAAGTCCGTGTAGGTAAACCTTTGTCTGATAAATTACCTATCCAGAATGGTCTAAAACAAGGAGATGCTTTATCGCCACTCCTTTTCAACTTTGCTTTAGAATATGCCATTATAAAGGTCCAGGGAAACCAGGTGGGACTGAAACTAAACGGGACACATCAGCTGTTGGTCTGTGCCAATTATATGAATCTACTGGGTGATAATGTAGATACCATAAAGAAAAACACACAAACTTTAACTGACACAAGTAAAGAGGTTGGTCTAGAAGTAAACACAGAGAGAACTAAGTTTATGTTACTGTCTCATCACCAAAATGCAGGGCAAAATCATGACATAAAGATAGGAAACAGATGTTTTGAAAATGTGGCACAGTTCAGATATTTGGGAACAATGATAACAGATCGAAACCTGATTCAAGAGGAAATTAAGAGGAGATTGAACTCAGGTAATGCTTGCTACCATTCAGTCCAGAATCTTTTGTCTTCTCGTCTGCTGTCCAAAAACATAACTATAATTTTGCCTGTGGTTCTCTATGGGTGTGAAACTTGGTCTCTGATGAGGAACATAGACTGAGGGTGTTTGAGAACAGGGTGTTAAGGAAAATATTTGGACCGAAGAGGGATGAAGTGACAGGAAGTTGGAGAAAACTGCATAATGAGGAGCTTCATGACTTATACTCTTCTCCAAGTATAATTAGAATGATCAAATCAAGGAGGATGAGATGAGCAGTGTATGTAGCACTAATGGGGAAAGGAGGAATGCATATAGGATACTGATGGGAAAGCCAGAAGGAAAGAGACCACTGGGAAGACCAAGACATAGGTGGATGGACAACATTAAAATTGATATTAGAGAGNTCTGTGTATAAAACAATACACGCACACACACACTTCTCCATACGTAGGGGCCAGCACATGTTGCCACAACAGTCTTGTACATATGGAATCCAAAAACACTCAGCTAACTGCTTGGATATGGGACATCCTTGAGGAGCCAATAGTCATTCAGCTGGTCACGAAATTCCCCACTTTTTATGAAACCAGAAGGTTCATTATCATGCTCACAGGAGTCCTACTGCTGGACACACTCCTGAGACAGATGAAACCAGTCCACCCCCCTCACACCCTATTTCTGTGATATCCATCTTAATAATATCCTCCCATCTATTCCAAATCTTCAAACTTGTCTCTTTTCTTCAAATTTTCCAACTAAAAACTTGCATGCACTTCTCGTCTAACCCAAGGCATGCTACATGCCCTTTCCTACCATATACTATATCATTTTATCACACTAACAATGTGTGATTAACAGTACAAATTATGAGGCTCATCACTGTGCAGTTTTCTGTCTCTTCAGCTCTTTCTTCAAAATCACTCTCAACCTATATCGGATTTGAGGTTATGTGGTGGTGACTGAAGAATACTATTATCTAGGATGTGATACTATGCAGTCTGGTAAATATTTACTGACATTTTGAAGAAACATATGCCTGCATCTTCTGAACAGTAATCCAAGCAAACAGCAAGAAGTGAGCAGAGTTTGCTTCCTGCTTACTTTGGCTTACTCTTTGTCCCTGAAAATTGAGTCAATATGTTGCTCTGAAATGTTGTTAAGCTTCTACCAGACTACATGGCATCATGTCCCAGAACATAGTACTCTTCACACTCAATCTGTGTTCTATCCTTAGGGCAAGAAATCAGGTTTCACATCTATATGAAATAAAAGGTAATATTATCATTTTTAAATTCTTTATGTTTTGGAGTTCAGGTCCACTTTGAATCTATGTTTCATTCTCCAAAATAGTCTCCTTTTGTAAGGTTCAACCAAAATTCTGTATGTCCATGCTTCTTAATTCCCTTTGCCCTGTAACTGAGCTGATCTCTGAGGCATAGTATAAGGCCAAACTGCAACCCTACAACGTCATATCTTTCTGAAGTAACATTAGCCCAAAGGCTTTTGCATGTATGGATGCCAGTCCAGGGAGTATACCCTTAAAATATGTAAGGGATTAACACAATCTACATTTCAAGACAATTGGATCTGTTAAATTAAACATAACAGCAGAGGGATTTCTTTCTAGAGAGGAAAATTTCCTTCCTCTTCACACACATCTGGTCTCACCTTCTAAGTTAAACCTAATTTGCTGGACTGTATTCAGTTCCGCAATTCTCTGTTCAGTTTCCTTGCCCACTTCTTCATGTTGCTGCTTCAGCCTCATTAATGTTTTATACTGAAAGTAAAGGAAATTTAGTAACAAGGCACATTGCAAATATCTTATGTAATGGAATCCAACATAAAGTTCTGCTTAATGAATTTGGATGAGGGAAGGGGTAATTTAAATGAGATATTACTGGACTAAAATTTCAGTGGTTCATTGGATGCTTGGGTATGTGATCGATTAATCATTTTGCTTTCGATGGTTGATTTTGCATTAAAACAATTTAATGAACTGTACAAAGAGGAAGTCAAAGCATGTTATAATTTGATCATTACCAATATTTAAACATTAACTGCTAAAAGGAACACAATAATTGAAGGAAAAAATAAAGGAATGTATGTATGCACATACTGGATAAACAAAAGAGAAATGTTTTGTCAGTGAACAAGAAAACAAATTAATGACAATTATTCCAAGCCAGTTGCAATTTTAGTTGTTTTTTGAGGGAACAATATGCATTCTTTTCAAGACAGATGATGTTTTTAAGTGGCAATGACATACTTTACACATCTGAGTCTATCATATTCTACAAACTATCTCTCTTACAATCACCTTTATCTGTAAATTGATGATGATGATGCAGAATATATGTATATTTTAGGTTGATCATGTTTCATGTATTACCTGTTCTGTGGCATCTTTTTCAAACTTGCTCCTAACACCATCACTGTCATAATTTTGGAGTGACATAGCTCTCACTTCTGGTTCTGAAGCTCTATAAAGAAAAGCAAATTACTTCCTGAGTCATAGGTGGGTAAAATATGTAGACAGTAATATTTGGAGAGGGTTGGGGTGACAGGGTCAGGAGTGTCATGAGAAGGGAGGTTTTGTTCACAGAATTCAGGTAGATGAGAAAGGTTTATTGTTACAGGGAAAAATAATGTAACCAAAATTATTGGTTGGCAACAGTTCTTAAGTCACTTTCCAAGTGTACTGCAAGCTGAAACCATAGAAACTCCTTTCTTTGTGAGGGAACTAAAGAGGAAAATTATTTGATTGATTTAGTAGGTGTGTTTCTGGTGAACAGCTGGAATTCGTTCTCTGCATGAATTGTGTCAAACAGGCAACAGGCCACGGAGGACCATAGGGTTGTGAGACATCAAGGTTCCCACATTTTCTAACCAATCAGCTCACAGAGGTTCAGATCATGTGTCTTTTTGTCCTTTCACGTTCCCACAAGTTTCATCTCTGAAACTGTTGAACTGATAAAAGATATCAGTCGAATTTAAATTTCATTTTCATGGATTCAATATAAACCTACTTTCCCTGGAGTTTAAATAAAATTTCACCCATTTTCTCTAAAACAGTTCACTGTACAAAACTTTCACATATAAAATAAAGTACAGAACTCATTAAAATACACATCTTTTATTTGAAACATTTTTTCAGTTCCAAATATTTAATGGAATAAAAAGAAAGAGATTCTCTGCAATTTTATTTATAATACAATTATCATTGCAGTAATAGATTTTTATGTGCATTCAATGAAAACCAAGGTCAGTGAGATGTGTAAAGTAATATTCAGATGATACATGCAGTTCAGTGTGGAACACATATTTACACACTTATTCAGTAGGGAAATTCATTACGGCAGGAAACAGAAAGAATTCCCCATTATTTATTTTGTACAGAATAACAAGGAGCAATATCTCGTGGTAGGACTATTTACAATCTTGTTACTCGTTAAGTCTAACTACTATAGATATGCGCTATGCCACATTTCAATAGATTTAATTAACAGTCTCATTTCACAGATCGAACGAAAACATCCCTAAGGCCGACAGTAAGCCGAAATTTTCACTCCAGTGTACATTTCAAATATGAGTTTTGGCCAAGGTGGAAGGAGGCCTCGTTTATTTGTTGTAGGGAATAAGAAATTTCGGTAATCTTCTAGTGTGTTTTGGAGACCATTCTTGATTGATAATATACAGTTTCGAAAATGCATGCATAGTGTCACGTCCGTACATCTGTAACACTGTAAGACATGCAGAAAGGGCATATTGAATATAAAATGCCTGATTAATTTTTCTCTTTGCTCCGATAAATATTTAACGGGTTATGCTCGAGATACGCACTGAAAGGCATGCAGTTCTTATTGTAAAATGTCCGTTACTTTTGTCAGATTTCAGTCTGAACTGAAATGTGTCCACAAATTTTAGTAAAAATCCCAAATATTTGAAATTTTATGAAATTCCGATCAGCAGTTCTCGAGTCGTTTCATGTCTACAGCGAAACGGACGGAGCGATTTTAATAGGCGATCGGAATGTTTCTGAACGAGCCTACAAACCGATACTTAATTTTTGTTATCTCTTAAAATGTTTCGATTATACTGCAAATCAGAATAAGTGATTCTTCTTCGACGGAGGAACATACTTTGTCCTGAATTTCTCTAAGTCGAACGGTATTCTGTCCTTAGTACCAGATTGCCTGTGTCAATATGTGGCGTCATATAGAATCGATTTAACTCACACCGAGGAACTGAGATAAGCCATTCATGTGCAAACAATGAAATGCTCTGACGTCAGAATATAACAGTTCCTAGCATGGTTAAGGGTCGTAACCAGTCAAATTAGGAAGCACGTTAGAAGGCAATGAGAAATAAGAGATAAAATTTTGTAAGGAAAATTACTAGCTAATAAAGGCAAATACAACAACAATATAGTCCCCATTAATTTCTTTGCGTCCACGCATAGCCAAGAGGATCCGAGCTAAATATCTTGACAAATTATAGTTTTCCTACTATTTCCAGAAGTTGAGGTTGCATTCGCCAGGAAGAGAGAGACCTTTCCAATTCAACTGTTCATGATATTCGACAATACATAACCTCTACGACTGCTTGTATACATACCCAATCAGATTAAGTTTCAGTTTATCCATTTTTTAAAGTCATAAAATTCTGTTGGTGTTTTGTCTTTGCAGAAACTGTAGCTAGAATTGTTGAAGCTCTAGAAATATTCCAGCCAATCAAATATATGCTCTACTGCAGTGTTTGCCAAACTTTTCTGACTGATGGACTCTAGAATAGTAGTGGAATATTCGAGGATAAATATATGTCTGCCACAAACTGCACACTATACAGAATGATCTGCAAATATAATTATTACTGGCAGTAGTAAACGCTTATTTGCGGTGTAAATGTTAAGTGGCTTATTTGATATGAAAATCGAAGAGACGTCACAAAACACTGAACTGGACATACAAAATTAAAAATATAATCGAAGACGCATGAAATAATGCGGTATGTTATTACAAATACGTATACGTATATGGTTGGTACACAACGTAAAGAAAACGTTAACTGATTTACCTGTTGAAATCTCTGAATCGAAAGAAGACTGCATTTTTGTGATTCTACGTATGACTTTGACCTTGATGTATGTTTCATGGGAGGATCATTACATTTTATTTCTTGTTATTAAACGTGTAAATCTATATACTTAAAAATAGGTTGGATTTTATTTTTTCAGCAATCTCCTTTATTTCATTGTCCGTTGTTGTACCTACCCCAGTTCATACGACGTATTAACTTCTTAAATGTTGAGAGGATATTTTATTATTTAATCTTTTCTTGCTGAACCGTGTTAGGTTTCACTATATTTCAATGGAGCTTCTTTAAAGTACGCAAATCAGTTGTAAGCACGGGTCATGTGCTAGTTAAATGTGTAGCCGTGTACTTCTATTGCAACAGAAGGAAGAACAAACGAACGCCAATAATAAGTTTACATATGTTTACAGCCACGGAAGTTATTTGCGCAGTTACATTACGTACAAAAGTTTCGTACGATGAATCGTTTCTAAGAAAATCGATAAAGTTCAATTTGCGTTTCATTTAAAATAGAGGTTATGTTCATAAAATACATGTTATATTCCAATGGAATTCACTTACCAATATTAATATATTAAGTATATGTAATATGACACCCAGTTTAACTGAAATATGAGGGAACCGTTCAGAGAGACGGACAGACCCAATTTCTCTATTATGCATTCGCTTTACTTACTTTATACTAATGCACTGTAGTAAACATTCAGTATAAACTACGTAGGCATATTTAACTGTTGAAAGGAAAATGTTGCTTGTTGTAACACAGCATTTCTTTCAAGCCGACCGGTATAAATTCAGCTTCTGTGGATCGTCAGTTCGGATATCAAGTCATCGCATCGCTCGGTCCTACAGTTGTAAGAATAAAATCGTAGCTGTATCTTTTTTCACTATGAAGTTATTAGAATTAGCAATGAGTATCGCAGGTATATTGCTTGCTTACATCATTGTGGTATTTTATATGAACCACGTCGTTATGAAAAGGGGCGTGAATGTGACGGGCTGGGAACACTGGATCTGTTGCTGCAAGGGGACACACTGCATGCAGAAGTTGGTCCATACAGGCACTAAAAGAGATCCAAACTCGAGTTTCGTGCGCTCTTTGTTTACATACATTGCTGGTTAACTACATCTAGATTTCAGAATGAACAAAACCGCTGTCGTCCATTGGATGAATTACACACGTCAGAAATCTGTGCCATTTCACCCTTTACTTATTTATTTGTAAGTTATAGAATGACGCTGCCAGTAACACGTACTGTTTAGGGTCGAATGAGTGAATGGCAGTAAAAAGGAGGTGGAAGCGAGTGGTCGTTGCCTAATTTCAAAGTACTGTCAAAGAATTTGCCTGTAAAGACTAAGAAAACCACGAAAACTTCAGTCGTGATGGTCTGTAATCCGGCCGAGACTCGAACCCGGGACCGTCCCTAACTAATATAAGTCAAACGTGGCTTCTCCCTTCTGCAAAACGTCCAGACCGGCTCTAGGACCCACCCAGCCTTCAATATAATGGGTGCCTGGGACTGTTTCTCCGGAAGTAAAGTGGCAGGGGCGTGCAGCTAATAACCACTCATCTTCATCTAGTCACGAGGTCAAGAACTGTAGAGCTATACCTCCACTCCCCAACATGTCTGCATGGTGTGGTGCTTAATTAAGCACATGGATTGCTTTATTATAATTATTATTATTATTATTATTATTATTATTATTATTATTATTACTATTGTTGGGAGCAC